TCTATTTCCTGTTGCTACATTGTAGAGGGTGACTTTGCCTCTAAACAGTGAAATGTGTACAGTCAGTGGTTAAGGTGGATTCAGCAGGTGGAGGAACTTTAAAACTGGTTGTAATGTCTCAGTGTGGGGAAAAGAATCAGACTTACAATAATTTCTATTCAGAGCTCCAGAAGATTTCCTTAGTGTACAGGCTGGTATCAGCTGACCTGATGCTCTTTGTGTATGTACAAAACTGAATTCAACCAGATGTGAGCAGATGTTTCATGAGTTGTCCTGGCTGATTTCATTCTCTACACTGACAGTACACCGTTTATTCTGTCTGTTTACTAGATGGTACAAAGTTGGTATGAAGGTGGAATTCAGTCAGTGAATCTCAGCATCATCAACTAAAGTTCAAATGAATCTCTGCTACACTTGATGTAAGCTAACTTTGACTATGAATCCACAGCCACGGTGGATCAGTCACACACTGTTCTTTACTTTAAATCCATCACAGTACAGCAAACTAACCTGCTTATCCTGCACTTTTCAATGAGTCACATTCAGTGTGAGCAGCCAAACATGATGGCAGACTGCCACAGATCACTGCTGAGGAAAGAGGAGGCGTTCAGCTTCCTCATAGTTTCACACCTGCATGAAGCAGCCTCACCCTGACAGCTTCAAATCACTGTGTCAGCTGATCACTTCCTGTCCTGTGATTGGCTGAGCTTCAGGCCTTCTCTCAGTCAAACTGGAAACAGGGATTGAGACAGTGTGAGGGTTTGTGGAGTGCCACAGTGCTGTAATGAATACTGTAGTGGAAGAAGTTCTTTCACACTCTTCATCCTGGAGCTGCTTTATGTCCATGATCTGCATGGAAACTGGATGGATTGACTGCAAAGTTCTGTTTAGAAGGATCAGCTGGTCTTTTTTCTCGTAATTCTTACCTACATGGCACAGCTGATGTTTCTGTGTTACCCTGTTAAGATCCATCCTCAGTCAGAAATGTGTTCCACTGAGAACCTTCTGGTCCATGTTCTGTCATGTTCTACAGCTGCAGTGTTTCTCCACTCACAGCTGGATATGCTGCAAAAACAATGAGTCTTTGACTGCTTATCCTTTCCCAGCTACCACAGGGAGAGAGGCAGGGTACACCCTTTCTAGGTTGCCAGCCTGACGCTGGGCTAACACAGAGACAGACAACCGTTCACACTCAGACCTAAGGGCAATTTAGAATTCAGCAATTAACCTAAGGGAAAGATAAAATACAAGCATTAAAAAGATCATAGCCTTAAACAGATTTGTTTACTCAGTTTTCTTTTTTCACTTTTTGCTTTTCAGTTTAAATCCTGTTTTCTTTGACTGTGTGTGAGAGGGGCTGAGAGGCGGGGCTTCTCTGCTGAGTCTTGAATGTCATTTGCATATAATCTGCATCCCACTGACACTAACATCTGCAAGTGATAACAAGACAAAGCAAATTAAAACCCTCACATAAACTCCAAACATCAGTTAAGATGAGCAGCTAGTTTCATCAGCGGGATACAAGTATGATAAAGGTAACATAAAGAGAGAGGACACATCTCATTAGAGTCCCTTTATTAAACTGTATTAATTATTTAAAGGTATAAATCAGTTGGAGCACAGAGAGGAGGGGTCAGGATCTCCTGAGCTGTCACAGACTCAGTTTGACAGACTGATTATTTCTGCCATGGATGTTTATCATAAAGAGTGAGTGAGACCTCTCTGAACATTAATGACTATGAAACCATGGTAACAGCGATCATATCCATTAATTACTGTGTGGTTAAACTTCCTGTCAGATACACGCTGTTGTCTCTGCCTCTGGTCTGTTTAAAGGACCAGTTCATCCAGATTAACCACAGCTGACTGTATCCTGAACACAGAGACGGTTTCATGTGTGTCCTTGTTTTACTGCTTAATTTTACACTGACCATGACAGAGTGGAGCAACAAACTAATGTAAAAGTTTTCAGTTCAGCTCTATTAACAAATACGAACAGAGGATCTCATTGTGAACTGAGGGCAGGGTGTAGCTGAAGGGTCTGTGGAGCTGCTACTTTACTCCACGGTAGTTTCATGTCATCTATAGCGGAACAAACAGTAGCAAATAAATCCTCTTGTTTGGTTCTTAAGGCTCTGGGGGTCAAGTATCTCTTCACTCACATTCATTTCATTGTCCACTCCTCTCAAAAAATTAATATTATTGAGCAATGTCTGTGAAGGTTCTCAGTCACCCAGGTCATCGTAGTCTAAGGAGCTTGGAAAGAAAAATGAAGACGTTTCACCTCTCATCCGAGAAGCTTCTTCAGTTCTAAGGTCAAATGGTGGAAAGTCCCAGATTTAAACCCAGTGGGAGTTTCCCCCCAAAGAGGGACAAAGGACCCCCTGATGATCCTCTACCTAATCACATGAGCCAAGGTGTGAAAGCGGGTGTGGGTCACAATCAGCCAGGGTTTTGAGCTCATTGTGAAACCTGGCCCCACCCTATCATGTGATTTCCTGAGGTCAGATGGCCCAGGATGTGAGTGGGCGTCTGGGAAGGCCCACTCACATCCTGGGCCATCTGATCTCAGGAAATCATGAGGTAGGAAACTATTTTGTGCAACTTTTTTGTATTTACAGTTTTGAGGGATAAGCCTCTTAAATTTCTCTAACTAGAAATATATGTTAAAAAAACAAAAACAATTTTCAATTTTTTTGTAGTTTATTGCACTTTTTTGCAATTTATGTAATTACTATGCACTTAATGCAGACATATTATTAAAATTTGGGCTATAAGGGTTGTATTGATGTATAGCAACTTGAAATGCTCCCAAAAATGGCTCCACAGCATGTAAAAATATAATATAAGCTCTGGCGGACTTGGGTCTATGGTAAGTCTTAAAGGGTTAATATTTCTTGAAAATAGCCACAGTCTCTTGGCAGATTAGGCCGACACAGTTGTTTTGTATTTCAGTGAAAAAGTACAACAATTTCCACATATCCTGGAAGTGACAGCCCTCGCTGCCAGCTTTCCTTTTTTTAGTTACACTTGCCATTTTAGAAATGGGCTTAAAAAGGATAAGCACAAGGGTCACGCCTAGATAGTGTGGCTATAAGTCTACTGCCAACTTCAGGTGAAATATAAAATAGCGTTATTGTAAGTCTGTATTTTATATCGTAATCAACAGTGCTGATGTATGGAATGCCAGGACTGCCATAATGAATTAATTAAATACACCATTAAATAATTAATTAAATGTGGCAATAATTAATTACAATTGGAATTAATTAATTAAATAAATAGTTATGACTGTCACAGTGAACTCTTCAGAGGGAGCAGAAAACCTTCAGGTCCTCCAAAACATTTAACAAAGATGAAGATACAGCAGAGTTTAAAGGAAGTGCTTAGAAAATAAAGACCAGGAAGAGTCACATTTTCCAACATTTTCTGTAAACTCAGTAAAATGCACCAAACTGAGGCTGGTTCATGAACACAGACACACTCAGTTTAATCTGTCAGGTGTTCACAGATTAAATGTTCAGATTTAATAAATAAATGCATTCAATTTGAGTGTCTGACTGTAAAACTGGTCTCTGTGTCCTGCTGATAAATGTGGGCTCTGAGATAAACACACTGCATGCAGATAATTTGTGTTTATGTGTCCTCAGTTTCCCAGCATGCCCCGGCTGTGGTGGTGGAGGTGAATGAGGGGGAAAGATCTGTCCTGCTTCCCTGTCAGTACTCAGATTTTATACCTGATGACCTCACAGTGATGTGGACTCGCTCTGATCTTGATCCCAAATCTGTCCACCTACAACGAGAAGGAGGAGGCGATCTTACAGGGCAAAACCAGCGTTACAGCGGGCGCACATCAATGAGGCCTGATGCTCTGGACACTTTAGACTTCAGCCTCACTCTGAGAAAACCAACAAAGACTGACAGTGGCAGCTACACCTGCTCCATCAGCGATGAGAGAGAAGAACTGCGACTGAGAGATATACATCTGCAGGTCAAAGGTCAGTCAGAACTCTGGGTGGGTTAGAGACTCCACATGGAGCCTGTTATCTATGTGACATCTCAGAGTAAGAGGTCAAACTGAAGTTTTGTAAATTGTTGTGACTAACCTGAAAAACCAGCAGCAACATGTAGCTCAGAGCTAACCTCAGTGCAAACAGGATGTCTCTGCTACAACAGCTGCAGTCTTTACTGCATGTGCAGGGTTACACTCACAACATTTACACACTGTACACAGTGGAGAGCATGAGCTCTCTAAGCCTCACTGCAGCTCACAGAGCAGCAGGAAGTGTCCTGATGTTGTACAGACTCAGACTGGAGGAGCTGCTATGAAACGCAGACAGAGCAGAGATGGTTCATCATGTTTCATCCAGCTGGTCCTGATGTCACTGAGACTCTCAGGTTAATAACTGCTGTTAGGATATGTAGTGCAAATCATAGTGGGGTTCAGGTAACAGCGAGGGGACTGCAGAGTTAATGGCATAAAACTGTAGGACTGATGTTTATATTTTGATATTGTTCTGCTTAAGTTTTTATCTGTTACATTTATCAACCATCATCTCAGACAGCTGCTGCCTGACGGAAACACTTGAAATAGTTTCGATAGACTTTCCTGTAAGTTCATTATACACAAACAAAGCATTTACTCATTTGAGAGACATTTGTAAAAAACTAAATAGAAAGCATCTGTTTCAGTGGACTGGCTGTCCCAGAGAAAGATCCAGTGAATATTTTATGAAACCATTCAAGAGTAAAAGCAAAAGATCCCAGACAGCCTCTCTACTTCTAAGGTTAGACTCCAAACTTTCCTTTTTTGATAGAGATTATAGTTTTTACGCTTATAGGGCTATAGATAGAAACAATATCAATCTGGCCAATGGTAGAGATTTTGACTATAGCTCAATGGCAACTAAAGAGTCAAGTATAAGTCAATTAAGTACTGTATCTACATTTCTTTCATGTATGCTGTCCAATAGAGGCTGAACCGTTTGAAGTCTGGCATCACTTGTGTCACTGCTCTGACTGCCGGTGGTTGAGACAGACAATGTATCTGTTAGACTTGGAGAGGAGGACTCTTCCACATGTTGCTTCAGGACAGTCAAATCTGAGGGTGACAAATAAAAATATTAGAATATAAGGTATATACAATCAAAAACACAACACAACAAAGATACCATTCATGCACACAGGGCCAGTAAACTGCACGCTTTGATTAAAGTATACTTTCTCCCAGGAGAACAGATGGTTATTTTGTATTTTAATATGGTAATATACAATTTACATACCACAAGGTGTGAGTGTCACATAGTGTGTTAGGTGTGAGCAGTCGCGCAGCTTCTTGGATGATTGTGTTTCCAGGATGTCTGAAATGCATGTGATAAATCCAACTTACTGTTGTTACCACAGGATATTAGACAAATTAAAAATGTTTATGTAAGAGTAACTGTACAAATCAAATCCTTCAAAATCTATCAGAGCATATTTACTTACCTTCAGCTGTATAGATGACAAAACACACCTCTTTGCCTGCTGCAAGTGCAGGAAAGACATCCTCATCCACCTCTATACCCTGCTCATCCGTGACTTTCAGTGCTGCATTTTCTGGTATGAGAAACTTCTGCTGTACTGAAGTAAAATCATCACTCAGTTACTAACAACATTATCATTTCCTCTTTAATGACTTAGTACAAACCATAACTTACCTGCTCTCACAAAATCTGTGAAGCTGACTTCTTCCAATTTTGCATATTTCTTTGTCTCTCTGTGTTTTACTTTTATCAACATCTTGGCCACCCACGAAAAAAAATACCTTTACTAATGTGAAACACAACACAAGAAGAAGAGGTTGTATATGGTAACTTTATGTAAACTGTGTATAACTTAATCAATAAACACTTTCTTACATTGAGCTAGCCTGTCCACACTAAATATTGCTTAAAATCTATTTAGCTAGGCTGGTTTAGCAGACTATGTGACCGCATGTTTGCTGTGTCCTTGTCTTTACAGTTCTGGAGACAGGGTTGTGTGCATGTCTCAGTGTGCAGCAGGACTAACTAACTGATGTTAATGGTACCTCAACATCTCATCAGTGCAGGCTGCACCTCTCGTTGGTTAAATACGGCCATTACCATGAGTCTAAACAGAATATTACTGTAGTTAGCTAACGTTAAATTAAACGTTGGTGTTAAAATTAAGAAATAGAAATAAACGTTTTCATTGACAACATGAAATGTGTATCTTAAAATACAGTAAGATAAGTTAGTTAGCTAACTTTTGACTAGCTTTAGCCTAGCTGCTATCTCCAAATCAGCACAACATACAGAAAACACATGTAGTGCTAGTTGGTTAACTTTATATTTTACTTGTGCATCCATGTAACTGAATATATATATATATAAATAACATCACTACACTCTCAGAAAATCCCAAAGTAAATAAAGTATTTTTACCTACCTCCTACATGTCGGAGTCCAAGAAAGAAACACAGATAGGCGCGGTAACAGTCGACAGACAAACAATACCAGCAATCTGTTGAATTAGACACCTTAGCACCCAGTGAATGAACACCTAAATATTATACCGCTTTAGAGTACTCCTCAACACTGACTATAGTATAAGGTGAAAAATAAACTGCAGAATATTTAACTCCAGAGATTTGCTGTGTAGATACTCAGCCGTGCTTCACTTACCATCAGTGTGACTGCTGCTGCTTCTACACCTGATACTGTGGTTTATTGTCCTTTCAGACCACCAGGTGGAGGTGGAAAAAGGCTCAGAGTCTGTCATTCTGCCCTGCAAAACTACAGCTGACCTGCCTCAGGACACCAGAGTGGAGTGGACTCACTCTGACCCTGAACTGATGGTGGTTCATGTGTATCCAAACAAAAGTAACCACCTGGATGACCAGGACAGTTTTTACAGAGACCGAACAAAGATGAACGAAGACCTGCTGAGAACTGGAGACCTCAGTCTGACCCTGAAATACCCCACAGAGAGAGACAGTGGAGGATACATCTGCACCATCTACAGGGACAAAGACATCCTGAGACACAAAGTAGTGCTGCAGGTCAAAGGTCAGAGATGTAGAAAAACACCAGGTGTTAGTGGAGGAAATTGAGGTCAATGTTCAGCAGTCATGTTGATATCGTTTTATGTTTCTCCACAGAACCATTTCCATCCTGGGCCACAGCTCTCCTGGTTCTCCTGGTTCTTCTTGTGGTTTCTGGAGGTCTTCTATATTGTTTCTGTCACTATTTCATGTCAGGTGAGTGTCTCCTACTACACTACCCATAATGCCGATGTTCAGCAGGTGTCCTCTGGTGGCTCCTCGACTGTGGCTCACACAAACTTGTTCCAGAAGCTGAAAGAGTTGAGAGTTACAAACAGCTGATACAGAGAGCTGAAGAGAAACTTCCAGGTTTGTTCCAGAAGTCAGAAAACCTCTTTCAGACTCAGTCATTGATCAGTGAAACAGCTCCACAACATGACTTTACTAAACAGTGTGTGTGCTTCACTGCATTGATCTGACACAGAGGCTGCATGTGTACTTTATTTATGCACGTAAAAGTCTCACTGGGATTAAAATCTCTTTTACAAGAGAGACCAGCGGAGGGCAGCAGAAGTTACAATGAAAACAACCAATACAACTGAACAGAAACGTGAATAATATATAATAACTTTACATTATGTTGTAGAAAACCAAGTATAATGTCAGCAGAAATGGTGACCTTTCTGTGGAAGTCCACGCCAAAGTTTTCTATGTGAAGGAAACTCCTCATTTACATAAACAAACTGGAATCTATCAGATGTGATTCAAACCACTGCAGTAAATTTCCTTTAATAACTCTGGTGTGTTTGCAGTAAACTGTTGTGGTCTACACTGAGGTCTAACAGGACAAGCACAGAAATAAGTCCTCTGTAACAGGTCATAAGGAGAACATTAGTAACCTTCACTACAGCTCATGTTGTGCTTTGTTGTCCTCTCAGTCCCCCAGGTGGAGGTGGATTCAGTGGTGGAGTCTGTCCAGCTGATCTGTAAAGCCAAGGTTCACCTGCCTGAAGATGCTGAGGTGGGGTGGACGGACAGTTTACACAGGAAGGTCCACGTGTATGAGAACGGCTCTGACCAGCCTGAAGAACAGCACCAGGCTTACAGAGACCGAACGAAGATGAATGAAAACCTGCTGAAAACTGGAGACCTCAGTCTGACCCTGAAACACCCCACAGATGGAGACACGAACACCTACACCTGCACCGTCTACAGCAGGGAGGGAAACATCCTGATGAAGAGAAAGGTGGAGCTGAAAGTCAGAGGTCAGTGCTGTACAACTGAATAGAAGACACGACACATTTATGTGTTATGTCTTAAACACGTTTTAAACATAAACGATCAAACATCTGAATCTTCTGTTAAAACCAGTGGAGCTTAAAATGGGAGAGAAAGGTCAGTAACCAGATAACACACAGGAGGACTGAAAAAAGAACTAGTTTATTCAGACTGGGTTTGGGGCCCTGCTGTGGTCATTTTGTATTTGTACAGTAACAATATACAGGTATTACACACAGCCACCCCCGCTCTCCTTTATATAAGTGAACAGTAAACTTTAAAGATGATGGAATCTGCAGAGGAGATTATGCTGCTTCTGGCATGATGTGATTTACTCAGCACAACTCTGTCACTTTTCTCATAAAAATTAATTATAACTGTTAATTAACATCACGATTGCTTCAAGATGCAAATGTGACAAGGGCACTCTCATAAATGAATCACAGTTAGACTCAGAGTCTCAAAATACAGACTTTTACTATTCCAGGGAATAAGTTCATTCTGCTGCTCTGACAGAAACTCCTCCTCTTTCACTCAGTCCCCCAGGTGGAGGTGGATCCAGGGGTGGAGTCTGTCCAGCTGCCCTTCAACACAATTCACCTGCCTAAAGATGCTAAAGTGGAGTGGAAGGACAAAGACAACAAAAAGGTCCACGTGTATGAGAACGGCTCTGACCAGCCTGAAGAACAGCACCAGGCTTACAGAGGACGAACTAAAATGCAGAGAAACCTGCTGAAAACTGGAGACCTCAGTCTGACCCTGAAACACCCCACAGACTGGGACACAAAGACCTACAGATGCACCGTCTACAACAGGTGGAAGATGATCCTAATAAAGGCTCAAGTTAAGCTGAAAGTCAGAGGTTAGTGCCAACAGGATCAAGAGGGGAAGATGTTGTTAGGTTGAAATAATAATGGATTGCATTTATATAGCGCTTTTCTAGGCACCCAAAGCACTTTATAATACCACTATTCATTCACTCTCACATTCACACACTGGTGGAGGCAGCTACAGGTGTAGCCACAGCTGCCCTGGGGCAGACTGACAGAAGCCAGGCTGCCATATCGTTAAATGTTGTCATTGTTTTAATTAAATTTGTAAACTGTGCCTTAAACTGCATGGTTAGATATTCAGGTAATGTCTTCATTTAATCCAGTAACAAACCAAAGGTTCCAGGTTTGAGCTTCTTGAAGTCCTGTTATTAAGTCTGTTCATCATTTTCATTCATTTGATAACTTCTACCAATAACAACCAATTATTTTCAAGCTGAGAGATTTAGTGTGAAAAGCAGAAGCAGGAAATGATGCTGTGCAGTATATTTGTGGAAAACAATGATGAGGCTAAAGTCAAGATCACACACACGTAAAAATAAACACAACATTTGTGTGTAAACACAGCAGGTGGAACATTTATTTGATGCTTTAGCTGCTACTTGTGATACTAAATGTTTGCAGTCGTGCTTCATGGTTACTGAACGTAAAACAACACAAACCCTGCTGATTGTTGGTTTGTGTGTTATTTGTGTTGTGTTCAGGTGACTATAGAAAGACTAATGACACAAATATTATGGATGGACACGTTTCCTGGGCTGCTTCAGGTTTTCCATACAAACACTTGATGTTTGGTAGTTCCAGGTCCAACATGGTGCATGGATATATCCAGCGTCCCTCTTCTGCACGTTTGCTGTTCATCAGTCTCAGCCTTCCTCTCTGTCTTTGTCCTGTAGACTCCTCAGCCTGAGCTGTCCCTGTCACCCACTCATTTCCATCCTTTCTATTCTGCTCACTTGTTCAAATCTTCTACTCTGCCACCTCCAGGTCGCCTCCTGTCGTTGTGTCATGTCTCCACCATCACCACCTCCACTCCTTCATCTTCACTGTCGTGTCTCCAGCTTCTTCACACACACTCTTCTCTTCAGAGCATACCTCCACCTGTCCAGGCTCTCTTTCACCCACCTGCTTCCTGCTCTCACTACAGATCACAATGTCCTCAGCAAACAGAGCTGCTGAGACTCCTGCCTGAGCTCATCTGCCAGCCTGTCCATCAGCACTGCTAACAAGAAGGGCTCAGAGTGGATTTCTGATGTAATCCCAGCCCCAGCAGGAACCCATCTTTCCCTGCTGCTGCAAACCTTCCCACTGTCTCTCTGTCCTCATACATGTACTGCACCAACCATTGTTTGCATGCACACAGAAACAGTGCAGCTCCTCCTGACCTTCTCTGCACATCTGAAGTGCTTGTTCTTGTCATGAAGCTGCTGCTCACACGTCACTCTTCCAGCTTCTCAACACACTCTTTATGTCAGCACATTTCCACCTCTATCTGTCATCACACTAACCTGCTGTAATCCTTTCAGCTGGAGCTTCTTTGTAGACACGTCCCTACATTGCAGCCTGATTACAATGCAGACAGTCGGCTACAGTGTGGCTGGATTTCCTTTCTTAGCGTGCTTTGCTGTAAAATACCAGGATGTTAGGCTAAGGCTGAGTCGCTCCATAATATGAGCCGCGGCCCGGAAAGTTCAAAGATGGAATATTGTTTGTTGTTCTGAGATTTCCCATGAAATAACCCAGCACTTAAAATGACTGAGCTGTACTTAAATGTACTGACAGTGTAATTATTTTATTCTTCCTGTACAAACCTGCTTGTTACACAAACTTACAGGTAACTACAGGCTGCTTGAGCCTTATTTGCAGCTGGTGTTATAAAGTGTTACTGAAACAGCTGCTGACCAAAGTGATGCACATTTAAAGGAGTCAAAGTCCTGAAATAATCCAACAGATTAAAACAAAGATAAGATGAGAAACCATGAGTGAAACAAACAGCATGGTGGTGCTGATCATTGTTGCCTCACAGCAACAAGTTCCTGAGGTCATTTCCACCACCTGAGTGGGGCCTTTCCCCCCACACTCCTCTCTGTGTGCTGTGAGTGTCTCTCTGTGTTAGCTGGGATAAGGAGAAGAGGAAGAGGATGGAGGGTGTTGAAGGTCTCTAATGTTGCGTGGGTCTTTGTTCCACAGTTTAGGAGCAGCTGCAAAGCCCTGATCTCCTCTGTGTTTGAACCTGATCTGGAGACAGTGAGAACCAATAACTGAGGGCAAAATAAGGACACTGAGACTAAAAGCAGTCTACAGGGTTATGTTACAAACACCAAAGCATGAAGCACTGGTGCAGCTGACTCACACAGACTCTCCTCCACACTGTCCTCAGTTATAAAGTGCTTTACAAACACAAACATTATGACTAACAGCTGGATTTTCCTGTTTCAGTGCAGCGAACTAACAACGAGCCAACAAGGCCTCACGTGACATCAGTCAGTGAGAGTTTCACTGTTGCAGCAGCTCTGTTCACTCACACTTATTAATATTAATGCTCATTACAAATGTTACAGCAGCTGATGCACAAATCTTTGTCTGTGTTAATAAAGTTGGATCAGTTCAAACAGTTTGTTGCTCTGCACTTGAAAGCAGCAGTTTTTCTAATGCACCACCTTCATGTTTCCTTCATATTTGAATCCCCCTGTAGATGCTGACAGGTAACCATGTCACACAGAGCTCAAGCCTTTGAATCCAGCTGTGACTGTTGATTTTCTATTGAATGGACTTTTTCAAATCCAGCTGTAGGCCTGTGTTTGTGAGCTCATTAACAGCTGTTTGTTTAGAGAGACGTGGTCCTCACAGGACAGCCACTACAAACATATGATTTTATAGAATATGATGCATTACTGCAGATTCAACACAATAGAAAGGATTTGAAATGAGCTCAGCCTTAAACATGTGCAGCAGTAATATTGATCCACAGACACTGATGGGAACATTTTTCTGCACAATAAGTACTTTGACTTTTCATACTTTATGTACAATTTGCCAGTACTGCAGTTTAGTGTGTAGTGAGGTGTTTTCATGGTGTTTTCTTGGTGCTTTTACTAAAGGAAGGCTTCTATCAAATTCTTCCACATGTTGTCAAACTGAGCTGTGTGATGAAGTGAGTGTGACAGAAACACTCAGACTGTGTTTCTCTGCTTCATCAAGTCAAATCTGGTCCTCAGAGACTGAATAAAGTCCTGTCCCACTAACAGCAGCTCCAACAGTCTGTTCACTGCTTTCTTCCTGTCAGTCTTCATCTTTCTGCTGCGTCTCCTCTTCACACTGACCACTTTCTATCTAACAGTGAGCTCCCAGTGAAGCAGCAGCATTCAGCCTGTTAGAGTCAACACAAATGTCTCCATCCAAGCTCATGTTGTGCTTTGTTGTCCTCTCAGTGCCCCAGGTGGAGGTGGAATCAGGGGTGGAGTCTGTCCAGCTGCCCTTCAACACCACACTTCACCTGCCTGAAGACGCTAAAGTGGAGTGGAAGATCAGTTCATACACGAAGGTCCACGTGTATGAGAACGGCTCTGACCAGCCTGAAGAACAGCACCAGGGTTACAGAGACCGAACGAAGATGAATGAAGACCTGCTGAAAACTGGAGACCTCAGTCTGACCCTGAAACACCCCACAGATGGAGACAATGAAGTCTACACCTACACCTGCACCGTCTACAGCAGGGAGGGAAACATCCTGCTGAAGAAACAAGTGAAGCTGAAAGTCAGAGGTCAGTGCTGTAGATACAGGTCAAAGGTCAGAGGTCATGCAGGAGTTTATTCTCTAGAAGCTTTTAGTTTGAATCTATTTTCAGTTCATTCAAATCTGAGAGACACTCAGAGACAGAAGCAGCTGTATGGAAGCGTTCTACAGGACGGCTGACACAAAGCTGATGTTACTGATGTCTCCTAGATAGATCTCATGGACCAAAGGCTCTCTGTGTCATCTCGGCTCCAGCTGAACTAAACTGAGAGTGAATTTGGGCTTTCAGGGAGGGGTGAAAGCAGAGCGCTGTAAAGGAAAGGGCTGTGATTGGTTCAGAACACGTCAATGAGAAGAAAGGAAAGCTTCAGAGCAACATGAATGAAACAAAGTGTTTTGATGACGACTGAAAGCCAAAACTGTCCCTGAAATCAGAATCCAGTTCATCTCCAGCCCCGTCAGCAGTTCCAGCTGCAGTGCTGTTACAATAATAGTCATCACTTCTAGTTTCACAGCAGCAAACTGGGAACATTCAGCGTCTCAAAGATTGACCTGTTAGCACCTGCAGACATTGTTGAGCTGGCTCTGCTGATCTTGTCTTCATTTCTCCACTATTTGGAGAAGCTTCAGCAGGATCCACAGTCAGAGTCAAAGTGGAGTTCTAGCATGGACGTGACGCTTCAAGAAGCTTCAGACAGACAGTGTTCTCCAAAAGTTCTGCTCTAAAAGGAAACTTTGAGCTGGCTCTGTGATTGTTGTAGTCAGAAGGATGGAGGCTGGATCTTTGATGAGTGCTTGCACACAGGCTGTCTTTAAGTATTCTGGGACACAGCCAGAGGACAGACGAGTGTTCATTATTGGAAGCAGCCGAGGGGCAGGGACATCCCAAACTTCACTCAGGAACTTTGGAGGAATCATATCTACACAGCTTGATGAGCGTTTCAGTTGTGCCACAGTCCTTCAAAGCTCCTCCACAGAGACTGGCACAAAAGAATATCAGATATGGTGGCTGGGGTTGGGGACATCAAGAAAAGAATCAGGAGCTGCTGTTTTGGATTTCCTCTCATTCATTTGATCCTTCAGAAAGTTTAGAAAGTGGAGACGTTCCTCACTCGATGCCGTAATCTGATGAGAACTTGCAGGACTTCAAAGACGCTCCACTGAGCTCCAAAGAGCTCCAAAGAGCTCTGGGCGGTACTTATTAGAATGAATTAACGGAGAGAAATAGCCGGCCCTCGCCTCCTTCACCTGCTCATTGAAAGCAGTCGTTTATGCTTTCATTTCTTGATGACGCAGCTGAAGATTCACCTTCTTCCGTCTCCTTTCTGCCCTCCGGCATTGTCTTTTCAGACTGTGAATGTCTTTGTGGATCCAGGGCAGCGAGCGAGCACCACGTTTAGTCCTGATCTTAAAGGTGCAGTTGAATCTAAAGTGGATGTACAAAGGAGGTTCAGATCATTCAGTGTTTGTGTGTGTGAGGGAGGAGGAACACCAGTGGTGGTAGAAACACTGATGAACATGTTTCTCCTGCTTCCTCATGAAAAGAGCGTCAGCGTACTGACACGGCTGCTTTTGCCTGATCACTTGGAAAAATGATCTCAAACAGAATCCATCAATGATCAGAGAGAAACACATCAGCTCAAAGCCTGGAGTTCATACTGAAGCCCACAGTTATATGTAGGCCAACAACACGCTGTTTGAAACCAATGAATTTACTGTACTGAGGAACTCAAATGAGTCAGTAAGATCATCAACATGGATCTTAAAATCAGCAGCTCAGATCATGTGATCACACATAAGAACCATGGAGCAGGAAACATCTGAGAGTTCAGCTCCAACTCTGATGGAGTCTTAGGAGGGCGGAGATACCTGCACAGATAGCAGCTGTTTCACACTTTAACAAGCAGCACCTCCAAACTACACCCTTCATCCACCTTAATAGGGGAGCATTTGAAGCCAAAGCTCCACCCACCCAGCCACTTCCTCTGGGCTGACAGAAACAATCATATGTGGGGTCAGAGTTCACAGACTAGACAGTCCTCTCCAGATTTCATCCTGTTTCTGTTCAAAACATCAAATCAAGCTGATGGGAAGTTGTAGAATCCTTCAGAATAAAAGCCTGACTATTCAGAGCTCCAACATTAAGAAGAGCAAAGTGAACCAAGGTGGATGGAGGCAGCAGAGAAACTGTAGGGTGGAGCTGAATGCTTCATCAGTGGGATGATGCAGCAGATTTCCTCCACCTTGCACAAACTGTCCTGTTAGTTATTATGACTGGAACATCCAAAATGCCTCCAGAGGCTCCGAGTCCAGCTGAACATGTATTAGTGTTTAGAGTGGAACTGAGGTGATAGGGACTAGGACCTGGGGGACGTCAGTCAGTGACGGAGCGGTCAGCAGGTGTGGGCAGGTGTGGACAGGTACTTGATGGACTGTTTCCTGCTGGACTCCATATGATATGTTAGCAGAGAGGATCTGGCTCCTGATTGGTTGAAGTGGAGCCCGTCTGCTGCAGAAAGATGCCTCCTGTCCCAGAAAACATTGAAGTTGTCTCTAAAGCCCAGGCTGTGGGAGTCACACACAGAGGAGAGCCAGGTGTGGAGGCCGAGCAGCCGCCCAAACGCCCCACGGCCACAGGTGGGAGTGGGGCCGCAGATACAAACACTACGGTGGGCTTGTTTCACAGCCTCACAAAGACACACAAAGTCCAGTTTGAGGAAGTGGGAGCGCTGTTTGGAGTCCGGTTGGTGCCCATGTGGATAAGGATGGTGTCGGCCTCCGGACGGGATCGTATTCTGCCAGGAAACTTGTCTAAAATGTCCCAGAGCGTCGGGCCGGGAAAAGACAGAGCGCACGCCTCCTTTATTGTGAAATTCCTCACCATGGTAACTAAACACATCAGCTGGTCTGCAGCAGGTCATGTTCAGAGTTTGAGGCTCAAATTGTCCCATTTTCACTGATTGTTTCCCGACGACATGCTTCACGTGTGATATGGATCCTCTGCTGAAGGAATCTGCTTTCTATCCACAACCTGTTGATCCGTGTCTGACTAACAGCAGCGCAGGAAGCCCTGCAGTTACAGAGAAACTGTCTGAGTCGCATTGTTGCTGCAGTTTACCTGCAACTGCTGTGAAGAAAAAGTCTCACTGTGTTTGTGTTTGGTCCTAATCTGCTGCCTGTCTGTTTGACATGCTGGATTTCCAGCTGATCGATGACAGATTAGAAACTGATCAGTCTATTGATCACACAATATTCCATCAATAGAACTGATTTGACTTTGATTTGTGTAACAAAGTGATTTCTGATCCTTCATGATCAGAATCAGAAACAGAATCAGAATCGTGTTTATTGGCCAAGTATATGTGCAGACACATACAGGGAATTTGGTTCCGGTAGATGGTGGCTCTCAAGCACAGCAATGTAAATCTCTCTCTCACACACACACACACACACACACACACACACACACACACACACACACACACACACACACACACACACAAGTGTCTATATATACACATTACACATACATACACAAAGCTGTGTAAACCAACTATAAATAACTAATCTAAACTTATATACATAAAATACAGAAATGGATGAGGTGGAATGAATACTACAGAATGTACAAAAGGTGCAGTTGCAGTCTGGCAGTGGGAGCAGTGTGACAGGTCAACTGTTAAGAAGGGAGATGGCGAGGGGAAAGAAACTGTTCCTGTGTCGGGTGGTCCTGGTCTGCGGGCTTCTGTACCGTCTGCCAGAGGGCAGCAGATCAAAAAGTCTGTGTGCAGGGTGTGAGGGGTCTGTGATGATTTTCCCTGCCCGTTTCCTGGTTCTTGAAAGGTACAGATCCTGGATGGAGGGCAGGAGGGTGCCGATGATCCTTTCTGCTGCCCGTACAGTCCGCTGCAGTCTGCTCCTGTCCTGTTTAGTGGCTGCTCCATACCAGACTGTGATGGAGGAGCACAGGACAGACTCAATGACCGCAGTGTAGAACTGGATCAGCAGCTCCTGTGGAAGACTGTACTTCCCCAGTTGTCTCAGGAAGTACATCCTCTGCTGGGTCTTTTTGAGGATGGAGTTGATGTTGGTCTCCCACTTCTGGTCCTGGGAGATGGTTGTACCCAGGAACTTGAAGGTCTTCACAGTTGACACAGGGCTGTCTGATATGGTGAGGGGGAGCAGAGTTGAGGGATGTCTCCTGAAGTCCACTGTCATCTCTACAGTCTTAAGAGTGTTCAGCTCCAGATTGTGCTGACTGCACCAGAGTACCAGCCGCTCAACTTCCTGCCGGTATGCAGACTCATCACCATCTTGAATGAGGCCAATGACAGTGGTGTCATCTGCAAACTTTAGGAGTTTAACAGCCAAGTTCTTGGAGGTGCAGTCGTTAGTGTAGAGGGAGAACAGTGGTGAGAGGACACATCCTTGAGGGGCACCAATACTGAGGGACCGGGTTTCAGAGGTGATCTCCCCCAGCCTCACTTGTTGCTTTCTGTCTGTCAGGAAGCTGGTGATCCACTGACAGGTAGCTGGTGACACGCTGAGCTGGGAGAGTTTGGAGGAAAGAAGTTCAGGCACAATGGTGTTAAAAGCCGAACTAAAGTCCACAAACAGGACCCTGGCATAAGTTCCCGGGCGGTCAAGGTGTTGCAGGATGTAATGCAGCCCCATGTTCACTGCATCATCCACCGACCTGTTTGCCCGGTAGGCAAACTGCAGAGGGTCCAGCTGGTGGCCTGTAATGTCTTTCAGATGGGCTAACACCGGTCGTTCGAAGGATTTCATGACCACAGACGTCAAGGCGACAGGTCTGTAGTCATTCAGTCCTGTGATGGTGGGTTTCTTGGGGACAGGGATGATGGTGGAGCGTTTGAAGCAGGAGGGAACTTCACACAGCTCCAGGGATCTGTTGAAGATGCGAGTAAAGATGGGAGCCAGCTGTTCAGCACAGGTTTGAGGCAGGAGGGTGAGACGCCGTCTGGTCCGGGGGCTTTCCTGGGCTTCTGTTTCTGGAATAGTCGGCTCACATCCTGAGTGTGTATTCTGAGTTTCAGGGAGGAGGAAAGGGGGGTGAGAGATGTGGTGGAGGTCGTTGAGTCTGGATTGGGGAGGGTGGGGGTGGTCGTTGAGTCTTGATTGGGGAGGGGCAGGGTGAAGGGGGGAGAGGTGGAAGGTGTGTTGGGGGTCAGTGTCTGAAGCAATGTCCCTGGGGAGGGTGGGGCGTGGGAGTCTGTCCGTCTCAAACCTGCAATAGCAAGTGTTTAACTCGTTGGCCAGGTCTTTGTTTGCTTCAATAGTGGGTGGGGGGCGTCTGTAGCTGGTGATTTCCTGCAGGCCCCTCCACACTGACGCAGGGTCGTTGGCTGAGAGCCGTTCTTCCAGCTTCTGGGAGTAGATCCTTTTAGCTGCTTTGATCTCCTTGGTCAGTGTGTTCCTGGCTTGCTTGTACAGGACCCTGTCACCACTTCTGTAGGCGTCCTCCTTGGCCTTGCGAAGATGTTGGAGTTTAGGAGTGAACCATGGTGTATTGTTGTTGTATGTGCAAAAGGTCTTTGTTGGCACACACACGTCTTCACAGAAACTGATGTATGATGTCACAGTGTCCGTGAGCTCATCTAGGTTCTCAGATGCAGCTTCAAAAACAGTCCAATCAGTGGAGTCAAAACAGTCCTGCAGTTCCTGCTTTGCTGCGTTAGTCCACTTCTTCACAGTTTTGACTACAGGCTTGGCACATTTGAGTTTTTGCCTATAAACTGGAATAAGATGGACCATGCAGTGATCAGAATGTCCCAAAGCTGCCCGGGGCACAGAGCGATAGGCATCTTTTAGAGTGGTGTAGCAGTGATCCAGTATGATGTTGTCCCTGGTGGGGCAGTCTATGTGCTGTCTGTATTTAGGGAGTATGATGTGACAGTGTCAGAGCTGAATGCACTTGTAGAGTATCATGTTTTTATGGCTCACATTTAAAGTGTTGCAGCTCTAATGTACAGCTGTCATATTAGAAATAGAAGCAGCTCTGATTTTAGTGCTCAAAGAAATCTATGAAGTGATGAATTCACACATGAACAGTTTTCTGCAGCGTTCCTCTCGGCCTTATTTGCAGCTCCACTCTTGTTTTTGCTCTAATAATTATTTCTCTCCATGAGCTGTTTCTCTGCCTGAAGGAGGCGCCACTCCATCGCTTCATTTAGTGCAGAACAAGAGTCACATGATGCTGCTCTGAACACCAATCACACTTTGTACAGCTCATGTTGTGTTTGTTGTCCTCTCAGTGTGTCAGGTGGAGGTGGAGGAGGGGGCGGAGTCTGTCCAGCTGCCCTTCAGAACCACACAAAACCTGCCTGAAGATGCTGAAGTGAGGTGGAGAGACAGTTCATTCAACAAGCTCCACCTGTATAAGAACGGCTCTGACCAGCCTGAAGAACAGCACCAGGTTTACAGAGACCGAACGAAGATGAATGAAGACCTGCTGAAAACTGGAGACCTCAGTCTGACCCTGAAACAGCCCACAGATGGAGACAGTGGAGAATACAGCTGTGGAGTCTGGAGTCATGGAGACATCTTCATCTTCTTCGCCAGGAGATACAAAACAGTGCAGCTCAAAGTCAGAGGTTTGTATGTCTGCGTGTGTGCGTGTGTGTGTGTGTGTGTGTGTGTGTGTGTGTGTGTGTGTGTGTGTGTGCGTGTGTGAGTGCGTGTGTGAGTGCGTGTGTGAGTGCGTGTGTGAGTGTGTGTCTGTGTGTGTGTGTGTGTGTGTGTGTGTGTGTGTGTGTGTGTGTGTGTGTCTCTGACTGTGTTGTGTCTCCTCTGCAGGGAGAGTTCAAGTCCAGGATCAAACAGGGGACATCAGGAACAGAAGCAGCTCCATTGATCCGACTCCTCTGATGGCTGATCAATCAGTTTGATCTGTGTGTTCTTTGATTATTGATCAGTGATGTCAGAGTGGAGTCAGTGTGATGTTGTTGTTGTGTGTTTGAGACTTTTAGTGTCCATGAAGGTCTCTGCTGCCGTAGATCCTCTGAACTGTGACAGAGGTCTCACTCTGGAGGAAACTCTCAGCACTTTCCAGCAGCTCCTCCATCATGGAGGACGTTCCCTCACTGTAACAGGTGGAGGAGAGAGGAGAGGAAGCACAGGTGGATCCTCTGAGGAAGAGGAGCGTCCTACAAACCACATGATCACATGACCAGAGGGGCGTGGCCTTCAGTGGTAGTAATAAAGGAACAGTCCACATGTTCCACTTTGAAGGCTCATGTAGTGGCGAATTTCTGTTCCAAGCTTTGAAAAAATAATTCTTCCACTTCTTAATGTGAGCTGTTCAGATTTATGTCTGACTCGTACATACAAACAAAAGATGTCACGGTCAAAAAGTATTTGCTGCTACAGCGCACATTTCCATTGCCATCCTGGCTCACTCTAACCTGCTACCACACATGCGCTGTAATGTTTTCTTACCCGACACAAATTAAACGCGCAGCATTTATTCTCTAACAACATATTATACAAAATCAAACATGTAACATAATAACTGAAACAGTATCAAAAATATTTCTCTATAGATTGGCTCTAACAGCTCATCTCCAACAAAGCAGACCTGTGATCACTTTGACTCAGGATGATGGATCGTTTGGATTTGTCTTTGTTTCTTTCGATTGTCTTGTGTGTCTGTGTGTCTTTGTATGTTGGATAGAGTCATGTGACCTGCCCAGGGACTACACATGGAAATGAGCAGTTTAGCTCATTATCCTGATGTCCATGAACATGAACACTGTCCCTGTCAAACAAATCCAGATACAAAGATCAGGTCTGCTGAGCATCATCAGCGTGTCAGCTGCTAACTGCATCTTCAAATGAATAAATGTGTCTGATCAGCGGTGATAAGAAGAGAGACGCTGAGCGAGTGACATGACAAAGACCTTCATTTATTTGAATATCAGAGTTTTTAATGAATTACTGCATAAACACTTGAATTACTGTCTGAGCTGCCGCAGTTTCCTGCTGCGTCCACTGGGTGTCAGTAAAGCTGCAGGTTCCTCACCTGGTGTCCCTCAAAGTTAATTCAGGGTGCAGTTTTGGCTCCAACATTTTGAGGACTACACGGTCCATGCTCATTGTTCACTTTATTAGGAACCTATTCCTGCTGTAAAGCTGAAGATTATGTAAAAATATGACGAATGAAAATAAAAAACCTTCTGATCAACTAATGTAGAACAAATCAGTGTATAAGAGACACTCATATCATGCTGATATTCAACCAATACCAACACTGCTGTCAGTACTATTGATCCATGGATCGATACAGCCTGGACCTGAACAAGCTTTATAGAGGAGCTGGTGATCACAGTGAGTGAAGCTGCAGCTACAATGGCAGTGGACAAATAACAGTTAGAAATTTTCACAACACATGAAAGGCAATAACTGTTTGAAAAATGTATTTTTTCCTCCTTCCTCTGATTATTGTTTCATGGATGTTATCAGCTTGCTGTTCTGATGAGTTCACAGCAAACATGAAGCAAAGGTCCTCCTCGTCAGTCGTGCCACTAATGGAATATTCTCTCCGAACAGCCAACAGGACAAGGAGAACTCCGACCGACAGCTGGAATCAAGTTCCACAAACATCTTTTCACTTCTTACAACTTTGGGGTCCTTAGGGACTAGAAAAGCGCTATACAAATACAGGCCATTTACATCTCTGTCCTCTATTTCTGTTTCTGTGATTCAGCTTCTAATATAATATAATATAATATAATATAATATAATATAATTAGGAGTGGGAATTTAAAGCGGTAATTATGATTAATTCATTTGAAAAATATAACACGTAAAAGAAAACGCATTTAATGACACTTTGCATTCCAAGCAAAAGGGAACTTTTGACAATGCTAGATGTCCTGGTATACCGATTATGCTGATGCACACATAGGAGCTGCAATAATCTCAGATGAAGTATTGTGAGTCCGATGGGTTTGTTATTTTTTGCACTAAAATGTTCAATGATCACACTGTTTTAGCCTAATGTACAAAATAATGTTGGCTAAGGTTACTCACTTAAAGGTGAAGTTGGTCAAACAACCTTTTATGTTTCTGTGTTATTTTGTAAGAAGAAAAGCTCCAATTTATGTTCAAATTTAATCATTATTATTTAAAGGCAGTATCATTTTTAAAATGTACTTAAAGCACTTAAAATAGCACTTTAAATTCAAATTCAAATTTTTATTTGTCACGTACACAGTCATATACAGTACGATATGTAGTGAAATGCTTGGACAACTGCTCGTGACCTAAAGAAAACAAAAAAAGGAAAAGGCTATGAATAAGATAGGAAATAAATATGAAAAATTAAAAAGTGTAAATTTAACTAGGAAGGAATAAAATATAAATTAAGGTTAAAAATGAAATAACTGTACAACACACTGGGAAAGAATAAGATAAAATATATAAATTAAATTGAAAATAAAATAACTGTACAACAAAATACACAATATAGAACTATATAAGAATGTATGAACAAAATACACAAGAAGTATAAATAAATATGTACACAATAACAGCAGCAGTGATTTAAGTGATGAAGTGAAAACAAAGTCCAGAAAGTCCAGTGTGTGTGTAAGAACCATATGTGTGGGTCAGTACTGTGTGGTGGTGTGATTGAGAGACCGTATCGCCTGCGGGAAGAAGCTCCTCCTCAGTCTCTCTGTGTTGGTCTTCAGGGAGCGGAATCGCTTTCCTGACCTCAGCAGAGAGAACAGTCTGTTGTTGAGATGGCTGAGGTCCTTCACGATCTTCCTGGCCTTGGTCCAGCACCGCCTGCTGTAGATTGAGTGCAGGTCAAGGAGCTTGGAGCAGATGGTGCGCTCAGCTGACCGCACAACCCTCTGTAGAGCTCGTCTGTCCTGCATGGTGCTGTTCCCGAACCAGGTTAAGATGTTTCCTGTCAGGATGCTCTCTATGGTGCACGAGTAAAAGTTCCTGAGCACCTTGGAGGGCAGTTGGAAGTCCCTCAAGCGTCTGAGGTGGTAGAGACGCTGTCGGGCCTTTTTCACCACGGTGTTGATGTGACAGGACCATGACAGGTCCTGCGTGATGTGAACTCCGAGGTATTTGAAGCTGTCCACTCTCTCCACTGGGCACTCGTTGATGACGGGGCTCTGGTAGTTCCTCTCCTGCTTAGTGCTGAAGTCCACTATCAGCTCCTTTGTCTTACTGACGTTTAGAAGGAGGTTGTTCCTCTGGCACCAGTTCTCCAGATTCCTAATCTCCTTCAGGTAGGCCGTCTCGTTGTTATCAGAGATCAGGCCCACCACGACGGTGTCGTCAGCAAACTTGATGATGGTGGTGGAGCTGGTAGTGGCCACACAGTCATGTGTACAAAGAGTACAGCAGGGGCTCAGAACACACCCCTGGGGGGCTCCAGTGCTGAGAGTGGTGGAGGCTGAGACATGTCCGCCCATCCTTACTGCCTGTGGTCTGCCAGTTAGGAAGTTGGAGATCCACTGACACATAGATGAGCTGAGTCCCAGATGCTCCAGCTTGGTGGTGAGTGTGGAGGGAATTATGGTGTTAAATGCAGAGCTGTAGTCTATGAAGAGCATTTTAACATAATTCCCCCTTCTAGTGTCCAAGTGAGTGAGTGATGTGTGGAGGAGATGAGAGATGGCATCGTCTGTGGAACGATTTGGACGGTAAGCGAACTGTAGTGGGTCCAGTGTGTCTGGTAGTGAAGAAATGATGAAGTCTCTGACCAGGCGTTCAAAGCACTTCATCACTACTGAGGTGAGGGCTACAGGGCGATAGTCATTGAGAGAAGCAGGGTGGGGTTTCTTCGGGACAGGAACAATGATGGACTCTTTGAAGCATGTGGGGATCACCGACTAGTTTTAAGTCTGCCTGATTTTGGCCAGAAATATTATTTTTGTTTCTCTGCTTTGAATTGAAATGCCATTTAAATGCTTTGTTTATGGAAATTTTAACAATAACCTACAACACAACCTTCGTGAGCATTATTTGAAGTGGGTTTAATAAACACAAAACAATGTGGAGAGAAATATCCCAGCCAAACACTAGGATGGTCTCTGCCCAACAGCCGCCGCCCTGGCATCTTATATACACACAGCGAAAGAAAGACCTTGTTTTCTGCTTAGCGGTCACCTAGAGATTATCCCTGATAAGCAGAAGGAGTCTCACTATCTGTTTAAGTCTAAGGAGCATGGAAAGAAAAAAGCACCTGGACTTCCTTAAGTCGCTTAAAGACGTTTCACCTCTCATCCAAGAAGCTTCTGCAGTTCTAGGGTCAAATGGTGGAGAGTCAGAGAAAACGGGTGTAGGTCACAACCTTGGCTGATATAA